CCCTCTTCCCTGGTGCCTGAATCCCCTTTCCTACCCCTCCATCCTTCAGTCAAAGCACGAGCCAGAGTCAAATGAATTACGGTACCATGCCTTGGCTACAAGTGGGAAACAGACTTGCTGCTATAAAAGGCAAATGGGTTAGCCGGTGCCAGTCTTTTAGGGGTGAGGAGAGTGGAACAGAACAGGAAGAATCAGTGTTGGTTAGGGGTTTGAGTCAGCAGGAGTTGGAACACACTTCAATCAGCCCACAAAGTAGGAGCGTTATTTCTATTCACTTGATGCCAACCTAAACCTTTCAATAAATACTGAAAAAAGCATTCAGCCAATCTCTAAAAGCCTGAAACACAAAATTGCTTCTGTCAAGAAATTCAAAGTGTCCCAGGGACTTTAAATAAATAAGCCTAGTAGAACTTTTTAAATAGAAGAACCCATTTTAAAGCTGCATTTGTTGGGTTGTTTTTTTTTAAAGCAACCTGTCCATAGTTTAACACTGCTGAGTTTCTTGTTTCTAATTTAGAAAAGAGATGTTCTAAATTTAAAAACCCTAGTTTTAGACCTAAACTAAAAATAATTGTTAACATTTCAATCACACTTGAGTAAAAAAAAAAAATATTCTGGGGTAAGAGTGAACAAGTACATTTTATGTCACAAATTCTGAAGACAGAAAGTTCTAAAGAAAATGTTGACAGATCATTAACTATAACGATACCCTTATAAAAGCATTTTCAACACCGAAAACCAAAAATATGTAGTGTTTTAGAAAATGTCATTGTTTAATATAAAAAGCATTTAGCTCAGTAATGATCATAGACAGTACAAAATACTCACCATGTGGAGAAGCTGAATTTCACAGGCAGTTTGCCATAGCACACTTAATGCTTGATAACTCCTTAGTTCACCTGGTTTTGCAGTCAATACCTGGCAGAAAAACAAAGTTGAAAAATTAGATTATTTCTGTATCCATTCACTCCAAAATCCTCATAAATGTGACTGGAAAGATTAGATTTAAGTTCTCAAGAGCCAGCAAATTCAAAGTTAAGACTAAAATTTCAAGCCCCACTCACTTAAACTCCACTCCAAGCTCAAGCTTAGACCTCACACAATATGCACCACACATTATTTTAGGCCTCCCTGCCAGATGAACACATTAGAAACACAGATTCCACCATAAAACCACTTTATTTTGTACAATATTTTAATATTTAAAATTACCTACTTAAAACTGCGTAAGAATGTCTATATTAACCTCTTTACTAAGAGAGCAAAAAAGTCTTATGAAAGAACAAGAAAATACTCACTCATTCACTCTACCTCTACAAGAACCAAAGGATTACCCAAATTTGGGATATGTTACTGTTATTGCATAGATTTCATTTTTACATTAAAGCTAGTACCATGCCCAAGAAAGAGGATCACGCAGCCAATCTGTTAAAACAGCTCCAGATGGTGGATTGTATAAATGCCAAAAAGGTTTTCTAAGGCACCTTCATAAGAAACCTGGCAATTCAATTCAATACTACATGTCAAACAACTTCCAGAAAGGAAAAAAAAACCCAACATTTCAGTTATTCCTGAACTGAGCAAAGACAGACGTGCATGCATCTATTATGGAGTGATTTCATTTTTAAGTATAGATATAAAATGATTTGACGCAATGATCAATTGAAAAAAAATGGAGCTAGATGTGCCCCTACCTAGGGAAGTAGATTCCAACAGTATTTATCCAAGACTGGCATTCAGCTCATATCAGGGTGAGGGGGGCATTTTGGGGGGAGGAGGTTACAGAAATTGCACAAAGAGAGTGGTAAAATTAGTGTAAGGAAGTAACACCATAGTGGTGACACTAAAAGAAATGTGCTGCCCTTTTTGCCAATTATTTTATCATTAAAGAAAATCACTGCTGAACTGCAAATTTAGTGGTATTTGAACCTCTTATTGTACAAGTGAATACAAATTAAGTATTTAGAAACATACGGGATAAACATAGGTACACCTAGAAATCCTAATATTTACAGAAATACCTGATATAAATATCAAGATTTAGTGGGTTTTGTTTGTAAAAAGATGAAAATCACAGATGCAGGTCTCCCAGTGGAACATGGTCCCCACTGAAAGAATATATTTTACTTTTGCTTACATGCTTCCTGGAAGAGCATGAGCAGTGGCGCCAATTCAGATATTTCTTGGAGGGAAGGCAAATTCTGGTGTTCCCCCATGCTTGTGTCACCCCCCCTTTCAAGGATACCGAGTCTCCCTCAAACAGGGACTCTTCTCTCGTACCCCAAAGCGCATGAGCTGGTGCCACCAGTAGTTGAATTTTTGGTGGACTCCTCTACACGCTGCCGTACAGGAACAGACTCCCTGTGTGCCAGGGGCTGCAACACCATATTGCTGAGCCGCACCTCTGTTTGTACAGAGGGGCAGCCAGTCAAATTTCTGCGGCAATGCGACCATGCAGCCAGAGCAATGCTCCAGGCCACTCTGGCAGCAGCCATACTGATTTAGTACAGGACCACTGCTTAAAATAGAGGTTCTCAAACTGGGGGTCGGGACTCCTCAGGAGGTCACGAGGTTATTACATGGGGGGGTCGTGAGCTGTCAGCCTCCACCCCAAACCCCACTTTTCCTCCAGCATTTATAACCGTGTTAAATATGTAAAGAAGTGTTTTTAATTTAAAAGGGGGGTTTGCACACAGAGGCTTGCTATGTGAAAGGGGTCACCGGTACAAAAGTTTGAGAACCACTGGCTTAAAAGGCGTTGGGCCACGCTCCCCAGTTCTCGCCCTGTGACTTATAGAACTTTGGGCAATTGCTAAGACTTTGGCGAGAGGGGGCTTCACTAGATCCCTCTCTTCCAGCACGCAGGGTGGCAGGCCAAATAAAATGATGCCAGGCTGGATGTGGCCGCAGGCCACCAGTTGCCCATCCCTTTCTTTTGTTCTGGTAGTCAACCCCACTCCCCAATAGTTTTCAAAGTAGACTGTTAAGATAGAGTGTTCATTTGTCCAAAGCCAATCTAAATACTAAGCACCAGGGGAGGGGGCTGCATCAACAGAGGTGATCCTAAAGGGAGTCACAGCATGAAAACATCTGGGAACTACTGTTATCGCATTAAAAAATATACAACAGAAGTGTTGGTTTTCCATCAGGCACTAGCATGTCTTCAATATATCTACTTCTACTGACTGTCCCTCACATAAAGAGCACTCTAATTTGTGACACTCATTTCCTTTAAAACAAACTGTGTTATTACAGACAAACTTTCCTTCAGGAGGAGCAAGCAGCAGAGAGACAGCCTCTCTCCATTTTGTTAGAAAATATCCTTAAGTAAATAAAAGGAAGAACATTTTTAAAGCAACACATGGACAAAATGCCTCTAAACAGAATGTTCTAAAGTTTTCAATGAAGCATCAGCTTCTCTTTATTAATCAGTGAAATCTCTTGTACTTAAACATACCTTGTACTCTTTTTCACTAACAAACATGTTCAGTTCTATTCTTCCATATCTGTATATGGAACTGCGTTCATACATGACAAAGATAAGCTTCCAAAGAGTGTTTCTTTCCTTTTTTTGGGGAAGGAATCCAATAATTTTTACAGGAACATCTGTTTTGAAAATGAGCAAAGGTATTTTTGAATTTTCAAATATGTACTGCACAACCTCAACAAAACTAAAGTGTAAGTTACAAACACGAGAGCAAGCATTATTTTAACCTGAATGTATTTACAAATTTTGTTGTTGCTCAGGTATGGCTTACAGTATGGCCCACCACTGAATGCAGTTTGTGTCTGTCTGAATCTTCATTAAAGAGGTGCAAACAATTGAAACTACATATCCCACCATATACAGTTTTACCTCTTACTAAAATGCCAGACTACTTAAGTAAAATTGAGGATTACCTACTGGGCATGTAGTATCTATGATCTATAATCTGTATTAAAGAAGATAGATTACTCCAATCCGCTTTATACAAAATTAAGCAAGCATTTGCCAAACTGCCTCTGAGGCCTCAATTACGTACCCCCAACTTTAGGTTGATTTTCAATTTACCTGCTGTCCAAGGAACTGTCAAGATGCCCAAATTTTCAAAAAGTTTCTCAGAGTACATAGCAGGTGGTTTCATAGATCCACAGCCCAAAGGGTCCAATCTGAAGAAGTCACAATAAACAACTTCTAATTGTCCATGTAGGCTGTTCTCCAGAGACTGAAAGCAATGGTGAAGTTAAAATTTAAGTTTTCACTACCAATAATTTGGACACATCCTATGTATTTTTCCATCCGAAAACAAAACACCTCAATGAATTATCTTTAAAATAAACAGATTCTGTAAATACTAGTTAAAAATAACAAACATTGCTCACAGAGCTAGCTACTGAAATGTTGCATATAGGCCAGCTACTTTTATGATGCAAGGCAGATGTATTTTTTACATATTTAGCATTTGCTCAACTGGAATTGTAGAATGCATTATTAAACTTGTGTAACTTTTGGTAAGTTTTTAAAAACGTTTGATTAGCCATATTCATCTGAAGAGCCCACAGCAATTTGTAATTGTAAATTAAGTCTCTTAACACCTAGATGAAAAACAACAACTAAAAATGAATATACACAAAGAAGCTGAGTAAGTTGCTCATGACAAGTCGATAGCTGAGCTGGAAACAAGCAGGAATCTTGCCTCCCAAATCTCAGTCTCTCCGAAACAGCAAAAAAAGCTCCAAATCTGTAGACCTCCAGGTCCATGCAAAGCTCCACTAAAATCATGGGCCCAAGAATCTACAAGCCTGGGGTCAACTGCAGGATAAAAGTTTAATCAGGTAAAATAATCACTGAAAGTAGCTAAGAATATTTGTAGAAGCTTCTGAAGGCCACATGAAAACATCTTGCTTAAAAACACAGTCAAGATCATTTAGGTGATTATTAGTCACAAATCTATGTACGTCCTTGTTTAGAGAGACCTCAACTTGATATCCTGCACAAACAGGAGAAACTGATTGGCTATATACGAGAAACAGTGAAAGGCAAAGTGCTGTCAAATGTGCAAAGTAAACAAATTAAAAAAGAAAAATATGTTTTCCTACCATCTTTAACTTATATCTATCTTAGGTGTTACTTGTAACATGTAAAAAAATTCAAACAGATGTGTGATTTTAATTTAATTTCTCATTTTCCTATCTCATTGCAAATTTCGGATACCCTTACAAAAAAACATACCTGTAAATCTGGAAGGAAAGCTCTGTCACTCTCCAGAGCTACCACTCGGGCACCTGCATTGAGTAGTGTCCGGGTCAAGACTCCAGGACCTGGAAAAATCATCATTGTTTAGCTCTATCATTTAAAATTGACTCCCAAAGGACATAACTAACACACACGCCTTTCAAGAAGGAGAAAAATAAGTTTACCTAAATATTGGGGGGGAGGGGGGAGGGAGAAGGGGGTTGGGAGAGATTAGGTAAAGAATTATGCCCTATGTCTGAAACATGTGAGTAAAGTTAAGCATGTGTGCAAATTTTTTGCAGCATAAGACCTTTAGACAGTAGTCAGACACGATCTCCCACATTTCTCGAGATCTCTACAGTTGTTCTACAATTTTTTCTTTAAGCTCTGACAGTCTAAATGGACCTTCAGTCATGATCTGCATTACTACTGTTTAGCAGCTGAGCAGCAACTGAGAACTGTGTGGTTGTAATGTGAAGAAAAAGGTAGTGTGGATACACTAAGACCATATTTGCTGGACTTGTGATAAGACAAAGTTTTTGAAATAAAAGGTGTGTATGTAGTTCAGTCAAAAACGTTTCTATGATGAAATGTAGCATCGGCCTGGAGCAGCGAACTGCAGCCAGTGGGAGCCGCAATTGGCCAAACCTGCGGACGCGGCAGGTAAGCAAACCGGTCCGGCCCACCAGGGGGTTTACCCTGGCGAGCCGCGTGCCAAAGGTTGCCGATCCCTGGCTTATAGGCAACATAATATACAATACCAAAATAATAACTGAATCAAAATTAATTCCATTTAACTGTTTATGCATATTCAAAATTACTTTTTCTTTTATTAAATGGACTGGTGAGGAAAAATAACTAATGAGGCAACAGCAATCCCTAACCTTTCAATGTTTTCCCCCATGTGGTAATGCCATCAGCCCTACACTTTAGATACTCTGTTCTGAGTTTGGTTTGAAATATTTAGAAAATGTGCAGAACAGGGAAAGGTAATGCCAGCAAAGCCAATGGTAAAGCTCTCTTTCACATCAGTGGGGCAGCATCAGGCACTAACTTATTTCCATAAGGGCTCCAGATGGACAGAGCAGGCAGGACCTGATTTTAACATCACATGCAAAGAACAACCATTAGGACACAGCACCCCACTATTGCACTGCAGTGTTAGCACTTAATATGAGCCCATATCATGGTGTAGAGCTTGAAGCTGTGAGTCATAACCTTCCAGCAACGATGCAAGATATTGTCGCATTACTGAAACGGAGCTTTCTAGCATTAAAGCTACTATTAATGAAGTCTGATAATTTCTTTATACTCACTATCCCTCTTCAAGTACCAGAGCTTAAAGCCAATTTTGCAGAGACTTGCAGTAAGATTTAAGTTCTATGCACTGACTTTTCAGGCTGTGCAGACTGCCAACCTAGCCCCAGAATATTAGACCAATTCTGAAGACACTGGACAAGACCCACCACTTCACTCTTTATTCCCAGCATTATGTTTTATGTCGTTTTGATTAGGTCCTTCCAAAAATATTAAGTTCATATTTACATGTGAACATTTACAAGGTTTCCCTTCATCTAATCCCCCATGACCATGAGCCACCAAGTCCAACTATCCCCTTAACACAGCGGCTCCTACCCAGCATCAGATGCGGTCAGGGCCCTAACAATAAAAGAGCTGGAGCGCAGTTGCCCCGTTCCCAGACTAACCCCTTGGCTTTCCCTGCCAGGCTGGGGCCATGTCTCGAGGTGGCTCCTCCAGAGCTGACGAGGCCCAGCCGACACGTTTTAAAGGTTCAGACCCAGCCTGCCTGCCGCAGACACTGACAGGTTTTTAAGCAGCACTTAGACAAGCTGAGTTTCTCAGCGACCCCAGCCACCCCTCCCGCTGGGAAAGTAGGGTCCCATCGGCACCAGCCGCGGCGCAAGAGGGCGAGGTCTGCCCCGGCGCAGCGGGTCCGTGTCCGGCGCTGCAGGGCCGGGCGCTTACCCGGCTCGCACTCCAGGACGACGGGCTCGGGGCCACGGGCCGGGCCACACTCCAGGCTCGCGTGCACGGCGCGGGCCAGGTCGGGACAGGCGATGAACCTGCGCAGCGGCGGGGAGGACCGGGCCCTCTCCAGGACCAGCCGCGCCGCCTCGGCCGCCTCCGGGAGCCGCAGCTGGAGCCGGGAGTCCGGGTGCTGCCGCGGCTCCTGGCCCAGGCCGCGCCGGGGAGCTCGGCAGCCGGGGAGGCCACACAGCAAGGGCCTGAGCGCGGCGGCCGCGACCCCCAGAGCCGCCAGCACCGAGCGCCGCCCGGTGAGCCCCGGAGACGGCAACGCGCCCAGCATCTCCGCACACCGAGTTGAGCCGCACCCCCACGTGGGTGACCTTCCCGGCCAGTAAACACAGGCCAGGACGCAAGCGCCAGGGGCACGTCACTTCCGCTTCCGCCAGCAGGAGGCGGTACACGGTCCCAGTCTCTCTAGCTACCCCGCTCTATGATTTTGGGCCGTCAAGTCTCCTCCTCTCTATGGTGCCAGCCCTGCGTCGCCGGGAGTCTGCAGCAGAGCCTACGGAGGTCAGGTCGTGCCCGCCGGGGACCCCTCGCCCAGCGCCGGCCATGCCCGCCCGGAGCCCTGCGGGGGCAGCCGGGCACCTAGGTAGGAGATGGAGGCTCCTCTGCCTGCCACCCCTCCCCCTGCCCGCGCGGAGCCGGGTCCGTCGCTGCGGGACCCCGGCGGGGGGTGACCCGGGAACGAGCAGAGGCGAAGGAAGTGGGGGTGCGGCTGCGGGGCCCGGGTGGCCGCGGCTCTGCGGCGGGGAGATGCGGGGCCGGGTCATGGGGCGGACCGGGGGAGGAGGGTCGATGCGGAGGCGACGTGGAGCGGGGCGGAGGCTCTCGCACCAGCCCGCGGGACGGCGAGGAGCCTGGGGGCGGCGCGGCGGGGGTGGCCCTGAGATGCCGCCTCTCCTGGCGCGTACCCTGCTGCCAGTGCCGCCCTCTGGGGAGGGTGTGAACGCCGCGCCGTGCCGTGCCGGGGGCTGCGTCTTGCTCTGAGTGAGGACCCCGGCGGGTGGCTGTTTGGATGGGAGCGAGCGGGGTAGCTGCGCTGCTCTGGGCAGTGGTGCCCGGCGCACGCGGGAGTCCATAGGCTGGTTAACAGTCGATGCTTCAAATTCACCTGATGTCTGATTTTCATGTACTTATTTATTGGTGTTTGAATGGGTATGAAGCCATGTAACTTATAGAGCAATGGGAGAGACGGTCATACGTGTTAATGTGATCTTACTGCAGCACAATGTGAGTAATGAAAACAATACCAATGGTTGCTCAACCTCCTAAACCAAGATATTAATTATATATTGCTTCCCTTATAATTTAGGAGTTCTGCTGGAGGTCAGCGGATGAAGCTGAAGATTAAATAGGAAGGCTTATTTTAGCAGGTATTTGATTAATTTGAAGTGATGTGCTCTACCTCCAAGTCTCCGGAGTCATAGGTGAATGGGCTTCTGGTACTTGTGAATAGGTCCCAGGGCCCTCCAGAGGATTCAGGGGGCCTGGGGCAAAGTGGGGGAGCTGCGGCATTTGTACTCACCCCACGGCCGTCTGGGTTTTCGGCGGCCGAGGGCCCTTCAGTCGTTCTGCGTCTTTGGCAGCACTGAAGGACCCGATGCCGAAGACCCGGACCGCCGCCGGGCCAGGGCTCGCGGGGCCCCTGCGGGGTCCGGGGGCTGGGGCAAATTGCCCCACTTGACCCCCCCCCCCGGGCGGCCCTGATAGGTCCAGTGCGTGCCTCTGCTTCTGTGCCTAACAGAATGAACTTGACATGATACTTGTCACTTACACTACTGCCCTGTCCACCAGGTTTTGACTAGCAACTGTGAAACTTCACATAATGGTCATTTTCACTGGGCTATTGCTGTGAAAAAGCTCTAAGCAGCAGCATTGACAATGGAGATAGCTATCTGCATACTCAGGATTGAATTGGTTTACATGTCATTCACGATTGAAAGGTATCTTCACAACTATAAGGTCTAGCAACTATTTTTTTAAATGAGCTTACATTGTGGAGAAACTGATGGCGTAAACTTTTCCCCACCAACCCCTTGCCAGGGAAAGTATCTTATTGGTCACTGGT